TCTGTTTGCTACTATTTTGTTGAGGATTTTTGCATCTGTGTTCATCAGTGATATTGGCCTGTAGTTTTCTTTCTTTGTGACATCCTTGTCTGGTTTTGGTATCCAGGTGATGGTGGCCTTGTAGAATGAGTTTGGGAGTGTTCCTCCCTCTGCAATTTTTTGCAGGAGTTTGGGAAGGATAGGTGTTACCTTTTCTCTAAATGTTTGATAGAATTTGCCTGTGAAGCCATCTGGTCCTGGACTTTTGTTTGTTGGAAGATTTTTAATTAAAGTTTCAATTTCATTACCTGTGGTCGGTCTGTTTATATTTTCTAATTCTTCCTGGTTCAATCTTGGAAGGTTGTACTTTTCCAAGAATTTGTCCATTTCTTCCAGGTTGTCCATTTTATTGGCATATAGTTGCTTGTAGTAGTCTCTTATGATCTTTTGTATTTCTGCAGTGTCAGTTGTAATCTCTTCTTTTTCATTTCTAATTTTATTGATTTGAGTCCTCTCCTTTTTTTTCTTGATAAATCTGGCTAAAGGTTTACCAATTTTATTTATCTTCTCAAAGAACCAGCTTTTAGTTTTATTGATCTTGCTGTTGTTTCTTTGTTTTTAATTCATTTATTTCTGCTCTGATCTTTATGATATCTTTTCTTCTACTAACTTTGGGTTTTGTTTGTTCTTCTTTCTCTAGTTCCTTTCGGTATAAGATTAGATTGTTTGAGATTTTTGTTGTTTCTTGAGGAGAGCTTGAATTGCTATGATTTGCTTCCCTCTTAGAACTTCTTTTGCTCCGTCCCATAGGTTTTGGATTGTCGTGTTTTTGTTGTCATTTGTTTCTCGGTTTCTTTTTTGTTTTTCTTTTTTTGCGGTACGCAGGCCTCTCACTGTTGTGGCCTCTCCCGATGCGGAGCACAGGCTCCAGACGCGCAGGCTCAGCGGCCATGGCTCACGGGCCTAGCCGCTCCGTGGCATGTGGGATCTTCCCGGACCGGGACACCCCCTGCATCGGCAGGTGGACTCTCAACCACTGCGCCACTAGGGAAGCCCTGTTTGTAGGTATTTTTTGACTATCTCTGATTTCTTCAGTGATCTCTTGGTTATTTAGCAGCGCACTGTTTCTCTCCACGTATTTGTGGTTTTTTTCTGTTTTTCTCCCCTGTAATTGATTTCTAATCTCATAGCGTTGTGGTCGGAAAAGATGCTCAATACTATTTCAATTTTCTTAACTTTTCCAAGGCTTGATTTGTGACCCAAGATGTGATCTATTCTGGGGAACGTTCTGTGTGCACTTAAGAAGAAAGTATATTCTTCTGCTTTCAGGGGGAATGTCCTAAAAATATCAGTTAAGTCTATCTGGTCTGTTGTGTCATTTAAAACTTGTGTTTCCTGATTTATTTTCTGTCTGGATGATCTGTCTGTTGGTGTAAGTGGGGTGTTAAAGTACCCCTCTATTGTGTTACTGTCGATTTCTCCTTTTATGGCTGTTAGCATTTGCCTTATGTATTGTGGTGCTCCTTTGTTGGGTGCATAAATATTTATAATCGTTATGTTTTCTTCTTGGGTTGATCCTTTGATCATTATGTAGTGTCCTAGTGTCCTTCCTTATCTCTTTTAACTATCTTTATTTTAAAGTCTATTTTATCTGATACAAGTATTGCTACTCCAGCTTTCTTGTTATTTCCATTTGCATGGAATATCTTTTCCCATCCCCTCACTTTCAGTCTGTATGTGTCCCTAGGCCTAAAGTGGGTTTCTTGTAGACAGCATATATAAGGGTCTTGTTTTTGTATCCATTCAACCTGTGTCCTTTGGTTGGAGCATTTAATCCATTTACATTCAAGGTGATTATCAATATGTATGTTCCTATTATCATTTTCTTAATTGATTTGCTTTTGGTTTTGTTGGTCTTTTTCTTCTCTTGTGTATCCCGCTTAGAGAAGTTCCTTTAGCATTTGTTGTAAAGCTGTTTTGGTGGTGCAGAATTATTGTAGCTTTTACTTGTCTGTAAAGCTTTTGATTTCTCCATCGAATCTGAATGAGATCCTTGCTGGGTAGAGTAATCTTGGTTGTGGGTTTTTCCCTTTCATCACTTTAAACATGTCCTGTCACTCCCTTCTGGCTTGCAGAGTTTCTGCTGAAAGATCAGCTGTTAACCTAATGGGGATTCGCTTGTATGTTATTTGTTGCTTTTCCCTTGCTGCTTTTAATATTTTTTCTTTGTATTTAATTTTTGATAGCTTGTTTAAAGTGTGTCTTGGCGTGTTTCTCTTTGGATTAACCGTTATGGGACGCTCTGTGCTTCCTGGACTTGATTGACTATTTCCTTTCCCATGTTAGGGACGTTCTCAACTATAATCTCTTCAAATATTTTGTCAGACTCTGTCTTTCTCTCTTCTTCTTCTAGGAACCCTGTAATTTGCATGTTGGTGGGTTTAATGTTGTCCCAGTGATCTCTGAGATGTCCTCAATTCTTTTCATTCTTTTTTATTTATTCTGCTCCCGGCAGTTATTTCTACCATTTTTTCTCCCAGTTCACTTATCCATTCTTCTGCCTCAGTTATTCTGTGATTGTTTCCTCCTAGAGTTTTTTTAATTTCAGTTATTGTGTTGTTCATCACTGTTTGTTTGCTCTTTAGTTCTTGTAGATCCTTGTTAAACATTTCTTGTATTTTCCCCATTCTGTTTCTGAGATTTTGGATCATCTTTATTATCATTACTCTGAATTCTTTTTCAAGTGGGTTGCCTATTTCATCTTCATTTATCTGGTCTTGTAGGTTTTTACCTTGCTCCTTCATCTGTAACATACTTTTTTGTCATTTCTTTTTTTTTTTAATGGGTGGGGCTGTAGTCCTGTCTTACTGGTTGTTTGGCCTGAGGTGTCCAGCACTGGAGTTTGCAGGCAGTTGGATAGAGCCTGGTCTTGTTGCTGAGATGAGGACCTCCGGGAGACCTCACTCCTATTAATATTCCCTGGGATCTGAGGTTCTCTGCTAGTCCAGTGGTTTGGACTCGGAGGAGCTCAGGCCCGACCTCCAGCCTGGGAACCAAGATCCTGCAAGTCATGTGGCATGGCAAAAAAAAAGAAAAGAAAAGAAAAAAGGAGCAGTACAATAACAAAGAATAAAAAATAAAATAAAATTAGAAAAATAAAAAATATATCAGGAAAAATTAAAATATAATTGAAACAACTGCAACAAGGTAAAATAAAACCACAACAGAAAGAGGAAAAAAAAAACAAAAAAAGGCGAACAAGCCAAAAGGAGCAGAACAATAACAAAGTATAAAGAATAAAATAAAATTAGAAAAATAAAAGATTTATTAGAAAAAGTAAAAATATAAAGAAATCAGCAAGGTAAAACAGAGCCCTAATCTAAAAGAGGAAAAACGGGGGGAAAAAAAGCCTTGGCTGTGGTGGGAGCAGTTTAGGTGGGAGGTGGAACTTAGGCAGGGGTGGGGTTTAGGGTGGGGCGGGACCTACATGGGGGTGGGTGGGGTGACGTTTGAGCATGGGTCAGGGCCCAGGCTCAGGACCATAGCCGGAAAAGGCCTTGGGGGTGGAGCCTAGGCAGGGCAAAGTTCAAGCGTGGGGCAGGGCCTCTGCTTAGGACCTGCAGGGAAGGGGAGAGGCAGCACGTGGAAAGGAGGGCTTCTGGAGTGTGGAGTTCCGGAGTTTGGAGGTAGGGCCCTGAGTGAGGGTGTGTGGGTGGGGTTTAGGCACAGTGTTGGACGGGGTCTCTGAGTGCAGCAGTAGGGCCCTGGGTGGGAGTGTAGGGGTGGGCTTGGGCTCTGCACGGCAGGAGGGAGGCTCCAGAGGGCAGAGGATTAGGCCCCGGAGCCCAACAGGCTCCCTGGTGCCTAAGTGGATAGGGAAAGCGCTGGCTGCATTCCCTTCCATTCCTCCACTACCCCGCCCCCCCACGTACCCTTCTGTTCTCCTCCTTCCCCGCTGGACCCGTAACCTGTGAGTGGATCCCGCTGGGTGTAGGAACTCCTCCCCTCCCCCAGCCGCCCCTCAGGTGTGTTGGTCCTGTTGGTCCGGCCTTTACTTTTGCTCCCCCTTCCCACCCTCCCACTCCCTCAGGACCTGCGTGGCTAGAGGCGGCCTTGGTGGGCAGAGGATCTCAGCAGGCTCCTGGGGGCCCAAGTGGGCAGTGGAAACCTGGCCACGCTCCCTTTTGATCCTCTGCCCTTCCAGTGGTCCCCCAATTTCCCCCTTCGGGTGTGGGATCCCTTCCCCTCCCACAGCCACCCCTCAGGGGCGCTGGTCTTGTCCTGCCTCCACTTCTCCTCCCCCTTCACTCCCCCTCACTACCCCCCACTCCCCACGTCCTACCTGGTTGCTAGGGGGCTCCTCCTGTCCCCTTAGGTGTCTGTGGTCCCCAACTGGTGCCTGCGAGGTGCCCTAGTTGTGCGGAGATGTGAATTCCGCATCCTCCTAGTCCAGCATCTTCTCATTTAATCTTAAAAACAGTCCCAGTAGAATGTTGGGCTTCCCTGGTGGCGCAGTGGTTGAGAGTCCGCCTGCCGATGCAGGGGACACGGGTTCGTGCCCCGGTCTGGGAAGATCCCACATGCCGTGGAGCGGCTGGACCCGTGAGCCATGGCTGCTGAGCCTGCGCGTCCAGAGCCTGTGCTCCGCAACGGGAGAGGCCACAACAGTGAGAGGCCCGCGTACTGCAAAAACAAAAACAAAAACAGTCCCAGTAGAATGTTAATACTCCCAGTTTAGAACTGAAGAGACTGAAGTTGAGTGGGTAAATCATTGTTTAAGGTTGAACAACTAATTCATGATGGAACCTCTATTCAAAGAAAGGCATATCTAATAGCAGAGCCCCCAGGTCAGTGGAAGTTGTTGGAAACCCTCATATATTAAGCGGAAGCATTTTGACCTGAAATGATGGACAGTGTCTTTGCAGCAAACTCTTCATTGGCTCTCTTAAGGAAAGTACCCATGTTGCCAAGCTTGATTTCACACTCTCGCCTCATGTAATATATCTAGGCAAGGAGAGAACATGGTATTGTGCATGCCTGTAGACTGGGGTTGTATTCCCATGTTATGGTATCAAGGATACCCTGGAGAAGATAGAGTGGAATGTAAATAAATACTAATAGCAAAATAGTAGTGTCAAATTAAAACAGACACATTATGTTTTTCCACTACTGAGATCAAAGGATTATTGATTCTGGAGGGAGAAATTGTGTTTTTTGAGTCATTTGACTCTAACTCCTTGATTCTTTCAAATATTCTTCCAAACGAAAACATCCCTTAAATGAAGATAGCTCTGCTCCTCTGCTTTGTTTTTGGGGATTTTTGTAAGTGATTTTTTTTCTCTTCTTCCAGGAAGCTGAAAAATGAACTTTTGGAAGCAAAACGTAGAAGTGGGAAGACTCAACAAGAGACCAACAGGGTCTGTGCTCACTGTCAGAGAAACCTGGGCTTGATATTCGACCGCGGAGACCCGTGCCAGGCCTGCTCACTCAGAGTGTGCAGCCAGTGCCGGGTCTCAGGCCTTGGTGGCAGCTGGCGCTGCACCGTCTGTGCCAGAGTCGCGTGAGTTTCTTGCCTTTGTGTGGAAAGTCCGTTTTGATGACTGAAGGGTTTGGAGTGGGGGAAAGCAAGAAGGAAGAAGAGTATTTAAAAGATAGGGATAGAGAGTAGAACTAAAAGTGTAGCCCAGCCACAGGCTCAGCACTGCCTTGGCAGGGTGTGGTGTGTGTGTGTGAGAGAGAGACAGAGAGAGAGAGAGAGAGAGAGAGAGGAAGGGACAGACAGACAAAAACAGAACATTATGCTTATTTTTTAAAACTATAAAACACAGTACAACTGGAAGCCTCACAGAACATGGTCTCTTGCTGCATCTGAAAACCACCCTCTGGCTTTCTTAGAGCCATACGTGGCTCCACGTGGCTTCTCAGAAGGCACAGACAGTTGCCCTTGAGACATTCTTAGACATTTGGGGTGACTGGTGAGATGAGTATCAAATATCCAGCCTGCTCTTCACATCAGCTGAAGTAGCCCCTGAATTTCCTCCCAACCTAGTTCTTGAGAAAGGGTGAAGGGAGACAGCTTTATCATTCGCCTCCGTGTTTAGCCTGCGGGAATGTCATGGCTGTGGGTTTCACCCTGCCGGCCAGGGTGCACATCAAGAGTCATTGTTTTCTAAGTTCAGTTAAACTGGAGTCCAAGCACGATAAGGTCTCTACTACTCCTTGGGCATGCCAAACTCCATCCTTTTAAGAAATCTGACCCTGGATCAACTGGTACGTTTTCTCCCTCCCAAGGTCCCTTCATCTCTTCTGCTCTGGATGGCACCTAATAATCTCATCTCCAGGCAACTCCATGTTGACCTCTCTTTCCTGTGGTTGAGGTCGGGGATGCTGGCATCACATCAGGTTTACCTGGTTTGGTTGGGTTTGGTTTATCTTTTATCCTCACTAACTCATTCTCTTATAGGAGTTAAGAGGCTATCTTGGGAGGAAAAGTGAATAGTTTAGTAGTAAGAGTGAGTGACCTTCATTTCCAACTTCTCTGAATGAGGACGACTGTGTTCTATTGAGGTCTCCTGTGTTCACTGATTGCATTATTTAACCAATGTTATTTCTCCTGTACTTTTTCATAAAATTGATCATAAATTGAGCAGTTCATACTATGTTTCCACACTACATTGAGATAAGCAGCTCTAAAGAAATGAACCATTTAAGGTATCTCATTTCTTTCTTTGGATACATTACTTTGATTTACCTAAGCAACCATCTTCAGTTCTTTGTCTCGCATAAATTCCTCTTCATACTTGCCTCTTAGTCATTGGCAAACATCATTTACCAGATCTGGGGGAATGAGCACTGATGGAATCATTGATATAATGTGTTGCGACGTAGCTTTTGTTGATATTGGTATTCTTTCTCTAAACTGAGTTTAGTCATCTGCAAATCAAGATGCAAAAATAATCGTGGGTACCTTCCTGTTTTTCCCATGAAATCAAAGTATTTACTTCGGATATTTCTCCATATACATATAGAGAAAAGTATCAGTAATGCACTTTGCTTTCTACTTAAAAGAAACATGATACATCTGTGACTCAGGTAAGTAATGCAGAAGTTGCTCTTTTAGACCCTGGACTCTTCCTAGAAAATTTGTTTCTGTGTGGGATAATGCTTTCTCCAATCCTGCTTTCCTTTACTTGGCATTTCAGAGTTGGATATAAAGGTTCTTCCAGTATAGTCAAATAATGAGTTATAGAGGAAATAATTAATGGACAGAATTTCCTCAATTACAGTTTTGCTTGTATGCAATTTTGCGGGAGCATTTGTCCCTCTCCACCCTTAGTGACCACTAGAGGACCACAAATCAAATTAACAAGAAGCAAATGAGTAGAAAGAGGAAAACTTGGAAAGAGGCTAGCATCCTTTCTGTTTATGAATAAAAAACATGCACATGGCTTTTTTTTAAAAACTAGAGTTAACTTACACAAAAGGGCACAAATGACAAGTGTACAACAGGATTTCTCAGTTTCAACGTCACTGATGTTGTGGACAATATGATTCTTTGTGGAGGAGGGAGGGGGAGGGGCTGTCCTGTGTACTATAAGATGTTTAGCAGCATCCCTGGCCTCTACCCGTTAGACGCCAGTAGCACTCCGCCCTTTTCCAGTGGTAACAATGAAAAGTTCCTCCAGACATTGCCAAATGTCCCCTGAAGAGCAAAAGTCACTTGGGGTTGAGAAGCAGTGGTGTACAGCTTTGCAAATCATCACAATTTCTGTGTAGCTATCATTCAGGTGAAGAAATAGAACATTACTAACACCCCAGAAACCTTTCTTCTTCCTCCTCGCAAACACCAGTCCCTTCTTATTCCCCAGGTATAAATACTCTCCTGCTAACACCATAGATTAACTTTGACTTTTTAATATTTTATATAAATTGACTCATACAGGGTGTGTTTGTTTGTTTCTAAGTACTTTTGGTCAACAGTATGTTTATGAGACATCCATTTTTGTTGCATTTGGCAGCTGTCTACTTATTTTCACTGTTTTATAACTTATAGGTTGTTCCAGGTTATCCTCTCACTAGCAATGCCTGGAAGTTGATTACTTGATATTTTTACCAACCCTGTTTTTTGTTTTTCTATTTTCATAATTTTGTTGGGTGTGCAGTAGATTACTTTGCATTTTTCTTTATTACTGTTGAGAATGAAGATATTTTCATATGTTTATTGACCATCTGAACATCCTTTTTTGTGAAGTACTAGTTCAGGTCTCTTTTTTTCTATTAGATTGTCAGTCTTTTATTGACTAGTGTGAAGGAGTTCTTTGTATATCCTGCATACAAACAGTGTTGGTTCCTTGTGTTGGAGATATTTTTTCCCAACTTCTGATTTGCCTTTTTGTTCTCTTACTGGTGCCATTGATTAACAGAAATCTCTAAGTTTTCATAACTCAATTTGTTCATCTTTTCCTATATGAGATTAGTGGGATTTTTTTCTGTGTTCTGTTTAAAAAAACAAAACAAAACTTTTTCTAACTCCCAAATGATGAAAATATTCTCCCATGTGATCTTCTGTAATTGTTATTATTTTAGCTTTTATCTTTACACTTACAAAAATGAGTTCCAACTAGATTGTATATGCTGTTAGTTAGGGATTCATTTTCATATTTTAATATGGGTATCTACTTGACCCAGCACCATTCACTGAAGATTATTTTTTCACTGCTGTACAGTGTTAACCTTCACAAATAAAGTATCATTTCTGAACACTCTATTATGCCTAACATTGTGCCAATGACACATTATTTTCATTATTGTAGCTTTATAATAAAATTTTATATCCACTAGACTTCCTACTTTTTTGTTTTTGTTCAAAACACCCTGAGTATTATTGGCCTCTGGTATTTTCAAATATGTTTTAGAATCAGCTTTCCAGAAAACAAGTCCTACTGGCATTTTTATAGGGGCTGCATTACATCAGTAGATACTTTTGGACAGAATTGATATCTTTCAGTATTTAGTCTCTCAATCGACAAACACTATGTGCCCCTTCATTTATTTGCCTTTAATTTCTCTCAGTAATATTTTATAGTTTTCCTGGTCTTATACATTATTATATTTATTCCAAGTATTTGATTTTTATGTTATTATAAATAGTATGCTTTTAAAATTTTTGTTTTCTAATTGTTGTTGATATGTAGAAATACGAATTGATTTGGGTAGTCTAATCTGTATCCAGAAATCTTGTTAAATCACTTCTTAACTATAACAGTTTCTGTGGTGCCTTTCAGATTTTATTTCTGCACAATTATACTATCTTTTCTAATACTTATATCTTTTTTCTTGCCGTATTGTATATTTTCAATTTATTGGTTTCTTCCTTGCTCTTTTCTTTTACTTTCTTTGAATTTATTTTTGATTAACAATTTTTTGATTCAGGTATTTAGATACTTGATTTTCCAGCCTTTGTTCTTTTATGACATATACATTTAAGGATATGAATTTCCCTGTTTTCACTGCTTTAGCTGCATCCCACACATATCAGTTATTTTTATGATATTCATTTCATTCTTTCTATTTGCTAATTTCCATCATCATCTTTTTCTTTAACTATGAATTATTTATGATTGTCTTTCTTAATTTATAATTTCCTAGAGATTTTCTGTATCCCTTTTTGATACTGAATTCTAGCTTAATTCCACTGTGGTCAGAGAACATACTCTTTGTGGTTTCAGTATTTGAAATTTGGCCCAGAAGAGGGTCAGTTTTATTAAATATTTCCTGTTTCCTTGAAAGAAAATGAATTCTGCAGGATTGATTTGAGTATCCTAGTTATGTCTTTTAATGATGTTTGTTAATTGTGTTGTCCAAATCTTCCATATCCCTACTGATTTTTTAATCTACATATTCTGTCTGATATTGAGAGAAATATATACTAACTTCTCTCAATAATGATTGTGGATTTTCTATTTTTCCTTTTAGTTTGATAATATTTGCTTTATATATGTTGAAGTTAGAGTCTTGGGTGCTTAAATATTTAGAATTGAGATTTTACACATGTACAGAAACCTTTATAATTATGAAAAATCTTTCCTTATCTCTAGTTATGATTTTTTCCTTGAAGTTTACTTTGCAATTAGTATGGCTGCAATAGCTTTCTTTGGTTAGTGTATGTTTGGTAAATCCTCCTTATTCTTTACTTTCAACCTCTCTGTTTCCTTACGTTTAAGGTGTGTCTCTTGTAGGCAGCATATAATTGCATGCACATGTTTTAAATCTAGTCTGACAATTGTCATTTAATTAGTATATATGTTCCATTTGTAGTAATGAAATAACTCACATATTCTACTTAAAATCTGCCTCTCATTTACTCATTCTCTCTTTGTCCCATCTATTCTGTTCTTTTATCTCTACTTATTTGCCTTCATTTAGGTTGTCTAAGTATTTTTCTATTTATCTCCTCTAATATCTATACATTTTTTATCACTCATCTAAGGATTACTCTAGAGATTACAACATACATTCTTGACTTGTTAAAATCTAATATTAATTAGTACTTTTGGTACT